GAAATTTCTTTGTTTTTGGGTTTTGGAGAAATAGTTTCCTTCCAGGTTCTTAGCTCTCGAACCCATTTTGGATAAGTTAAAGGTTTGGCAATTCCAAAAGGGGTTGTAGGGAAAGTGGGTAGATGGTTGGGACAATACATTTCAAATGGGGTTTTACCTCGAGGATTTATTATTTCGTGGTTCGATCTATTGGTGTCTATTTTGTTGGCGAGGGATATAACAACATTGTAAAACGTGTCTTCTAATTTAAAAGGGTTGTAGCATTCTCGATAAAAGTTTTCAAATCGAGATATTTGAAGATAGTGAGAGTATTTACCTTTCTTGGTCTTCGATTTATCTTGCACAATGAGAGAAGGATGTTCAGTCAATTTCGATTGGATGGTATGAAAGTTAGAATGAATTCTCGAAAACCAATCATTCCACCATTGAGAAAAGCCAAGGGTAGATAAGTAATTTGACTCGAAAGCATAAGGGTAGAAATGGAGTGGGCTTTGCGGTAATAATTTGGCTAGTTCCTGTCCTATATTCGATTCATTAAACTTGTTCCTTGGGGGACTATCGATATTGAAAAAAGGTAAAGCTTGACATAAACCAAATTGCCGTGAAAAAATTTGAGGATAATAGATGATAAGTTGAATATCTTTCGATTGGAAGCCCGACACCAGAACATCTTGGGTTAAATAATTACTCCATACATCAACTAGTTCTGATTATAAACCTGGGGTAGGAGCTGAGAATTTTGACTTAAACCATGTTGGTCCTCGAAGCCTGTCACTTATTTTTCCATGATATGTAATGAAAGGGGCCAAACATGAGTCGAAATAAAACCGAGTCAGTAAGAACTTCAAATAAGTTTTATAATTGGCTTCATCGGAGGATTTTTGCTGAGAGTGCAGGGATGATAATCGAGCACCTTCTAAGTTCAGATTTGGGGGAACTTTGGATGGTGGGGGAAGGATACTTTCGAAAATCAAAGTTAACCATAATTGGATGAATCATATGGGACCTGAAAAATTTCCTGAGGGTTTTTTGGTATTCAAAATATCAACTGCCTCATCGAATGTTGTATAAGCATGGGCCAACAAGAGTTTTGCCAAACAAATTTGAGGTTGACCAGTATGAAGAAGGTAAACAAGGTTATAAAAATGTGATGAAATTTGGATAGATCGAGGGCAGAATACATGAGTGCAAAGCCAATATACCAAAAAGGCAACATGTTCTTCATTGGAAACTGCAATCGATTGGTCATCGATAAAATGTTTTTCGATGAAATGACCATAGGCCTTCGCATCCCAATCGATTCTTGATTTGAGAGAGTCGTCCGAAGGGAAAGCAGTCTTAAAATATTTTTTCCCTGTAGGTTTTAACCTGGTAATAGCAGCAATCTCGAAAAGGGTAGGGGAAAGAGGACCACATGGAAGCTCCATAGCGTGTAAATCCTTATTCCATAAATGAACTGCGGATAAGAACATGGGCATGTCCAGAAATGATAGATCACATCGAGATAAGTGTAGAAAGTCGAAAATCCCTATATTTTTCCAATGATTCCCAAACTTGGTTTTCACTCTATCAAACCATCTGATATATAAGGGTTTTTTTATGGGGAGGACCGGTTCGATATACTTTCGAAGTAGCATTTAAGAAAAAAATCATTATCTCAGGTTTATGAATAATGACTTTACTTTATGAAGGCAGAGAGATAGTAGAGGGAAACGATCCACCATAATAACGGATAGGACCACCGAATGCATAATCTACATTATCAACTGCATAAGGTATAAGTACCTGTGTTTCAGCGATTTTCTATGAAGCTTCTTCTAACAAGGGGACCGGAGCGAACTTCTGGCCATTTATCTCTATTAAATTTGAAGTCACCGTCGACAATGGCGGGGTAGGGAGGTCAGAAGATTTGGAAGTTGCCATGGCAGTTGTGTAAGGATAGAAGACGGAGAGGGATAATGGATGAAGAAGATGGGTTAGGTTTAGTAAAGATATTGTAGATTGATTTGAGTGTTTTAAAGGAGTCAAAATTAGGACAGTTGTAACGACGACAAATTTCTTTGGGAAAAAGATAAGTATCTAGGTAAATCTGGTAACATTAATGAGGGGAATGCTTTGATTTGACATCGGATAATAAAAACAGCCTTTTGGGCTTCAGAACATTTAAAAATTGAAATAAATCTTTTATTGAGAGAATACAAAATTTTGTACAAATGTTTTATTCTTTCAAGGGGGCATTTTGTTAGTGGGAAAAAATTGATACGGATCAAAAAACGCGGATGGAAGAAAATCGAGGATCATATGTTAGTTAAAAATTTGATAAATTAAAAAGATGGTTGGAAGATATTCGATGACCATGTATTAGTATGAAAACATCGATCGAGAATCGAAAGAAGAAGATTCAATGGCTATTACTCAAGAAAATCGAGAATTGAATTGAGAATCGGAATCGAGAGAAACAGGGAATTCAATGATCATGGGGAAGTAAAAATCGATGAAAGGCATTTGAGTATGAAGTTAAGTGGAAAGTCAGAAAGGAATTCAAAGAATATCGATGTCTGGAATCGAGATCGAAGGAACGGTTAAGATACACATGGAACGAGGAAGCGGTTATTCTAAACCGTAGGCTAAGGTAAAAATCGAGGGACGTGCACATGGAACGTGGTAGCAGTTTTTTAACTGCTCTTAAGAGGTTACCTGAAAGACACCCTATAAATAGAACAAAGATTGAAGGAAAACGAGGAATTGGCAGAGACAACAGAAACACAAGTGAAAAGTCTACCGGAGAACGACGAATCATGAGGTTTCTGGCGATCTGGATTTCCATTTTCATTGATTGTCTTTATCGCTTTCTTTACTTTCCCTGGTAATTTACTTTCATGTAATGTACTTTCATGCAATTTACATTCGTTCAGTCATTTACATTCATCAACTTTTAAGTTTCTGTTCTTTAAATTCCTTGTCATTTACCTTAATGCAAGTTAAGATTCTGCGTTTAAGTTCCCGTTGTTTACATTTTCTGCAATTTCGATTTCCTGCTATTTACATTTCTGCAATTTCGATTTCCTGTCATTTGCACTTAATGCAAATTTGAGATTTCCGCATTTTACATTTCTCTGCAATTTAATATTCTGCACTACTTTTCGATTAAACACTTTTTACTGCTTTCTTTACTTCGAGTTCCTAATAAAAAATACCAAAAATAGTACTTTCGATTGTCAATCTACATGTTAGGTTGCATTGTTAGTGTTTCTCGATACTATGGGATTGTCGATTTTTCATACATTTTCGTTTGAAAACTGTTTACTAACCTAAGTAAAAAGAATCTACGTGGTTGAAATTTGGTTAGAACTTAAGTTTCCGAGAAATCGAAATCGATCAAATTTCCACCAGAAACACCTTTATTATACAAAATGACTAGTATCTCAACTAGGATCACGATGAAAGATCGACAAAACATGATAGAATAGAGGAATCTCCACCATATATTATTAAGGTAAACTCCGAAAAAAACTTTACCTAAATATATGATTTTTGAAATCAAAATTGAGTTTGGAAGTCGATTGTGCTCAAAGGAAGATATCAACATCATGTTCATTAAATGTGAAAAATGAATGTTATTTAAAAAAAATATTTGTTTTTCCCTTAAAGTTGAAAAATAACAAAAAATATTAAAACAAAAAATATTAAACTAAAACACTAACTATTTAATATTTAAGAAAAAAATATTTATGAAAGTATTTATTTAGATCCGTTAAAATATTAATCTTACTCAACATGTTTCCATTTGTAGTAGAAAATTAGAGTTATGCAGTTTTTTTTTTTCAACGAAGTTTTGTGAGTTTGATAATTTATAGTTTTGAATTTTAGTATTTTTAGTTTTTAGTAAAATTATATTTTAAAATACATTTTCTGTTACAATATACATATAAAGAGATAGATCTAGCCCAAGGTCAAGGGGTCTAAAATTAAAATAATATATATATATATATATATATATATATATATATATATATATAAACAATTATAAATTATCATTTAAGTTTACAAATTTTAAAATTTTATGAAATCATAATCCTAGGATCCCATTCCCTCCGCGTATAAGATAATATAAACGACTATACTTATACCTGTTACAAAACATAAAATATTAAAATAATGTAAATCAGAAATAACATTATAAACTATTATGTGATTTTTAGTCCCAAGAAAGTATTTAGTCAATATTAAATACATATATTTAAATAATTATTTAAATATAAAAAATAGTATATAAGTATTAAAATAAAGTTTTTATTGTATCTATTATACTTAAATATATATAATTTATCGTATAAAAAAGATATATGATCATACATACATACCTAAATTATTCTTTAATATACTACGTAAACCTATAAGACGTCAACTCAAATTTTAATAAAAAATTATTTATATATTTTAATACAGATGTATATATAATATTTATAAATTTACTATTATATATCTTAAACAAACTTTAATAATAATAATAAAAAAAACACTTCGTATAAGATGACACTAGTAATTCATATAAATAAATTATGTTTTCATGTAACATATGAAAAGATAGAGTTAATTACACCTTTACACAAAATATCATATCAAAGTATAAAATAAAAAACTTTATTATTTTTTTTATTAAAAGAGTTTTATTAATAAATTATTATTATATCTAGAATAAGTAAAATGTTCATACACGTAATCAGCCATGGATATATCAAAATAAATATATTGATTGTACAAATGTACTTAATTGTTGATTACAAACAAAAGATAAAATTCATAATAATTTCTTTTATCTAAAAATAAATTTCTCCTTTATTAGATATTGGCTAAGGTTTAATCAAAGGGTTCATCTATTTACTTGTATATATATATATATATATATATATATAACGTACCATATAATCCTACTTATAAAATATCGCTTGTCAAGTTTTAGTGACACGGATTATCATAAAATGGAATAAAAGACAAACCCGTAGTGCCAAAACCAAATTTTATAACCTCACGAGTGTTACCAACTTTATCTCCATCCGAATGCGCACAATGAGGCCACGCAGAGATAAAAATGATAATAATAAAAGGAACACTGTTGTTCCATGGTGATTCCCCCACTTGTGCCGTGCTATTATCGTCACAAAATTGCTTTAACAATTTATATACAAAAGTTGTTGTGGTCTGGCTTGTCTTTCACTAGTACAGAAAATACCTTTAACATCGGTTCTTAGCAGCTTTCTACATCGGTTCTAACCGATGTAGATACAATCGATATAGAAACTTGGTGAGTTTTAACATCGGTTAAGAACCGATGTGGAAAGTATAAAAAAAATGACTTTCTACATCGGTTCTAGACCATAACCGATGTGGAAAGTCATATTTTTTTTAAATACGAATTTTAGTTTTTGATTTTTCAGAACCTGTATAGCATTTTAAATATTTACAGCTACTCAGAATGCTAATCTATAAAGGACATGCATCAACACACATGAGTAAACATAATGTATATTACATAATAACAAACAGTGAACATGTATTGTATTCTAAGTTTATATATACAAAGAAAATAGTCCTAATGTTTCACAATTAAATATTCAATCACGACTATAGTTCTTAATAACAAAATTTGTCCAAAGTCGTCTAATGTCATCAATCTCTGCTTCACTTATTGGATGACCATCTTTGAATATCTACAAACAATAAAAAAAACATTTCAGATAAGCACAAGTAGGCAAATATATGTCAATGACATAGATATAGTCATAACACATACCAAATTCCATGAATCTGTGATATTTGTTGTGATGATAGTTAACATATGTCTCATCACATAATATCCGCACTCCCAACTTCCTTTTTGCTTATTACACTATAAGAAAAATAAGAAAAAAAACATTAAATACAGAAAATGAGTAAATTAAAGCTAAGAATTTGAAAGATAACGTCCTTACACGTGGAAGTATCCATGTGGGTTTCTTTTTAGGCTTACCCTCCATGACTGAGCATGCTATACACCTATAAAAGATTAAATGGAAATACTTCATATTAAGACATGTGAAACTTAAAATGAAATGAATGAAATATTATACAAGGGTGTTAGTATACTTACACATCATCTTAAACAATTGAATGTTGTCTGGATCGGGATTTGGGAATGGATGTTATGTATTTGTTATACAATTGATGTGCATTTGTATAATGATTACATCTTAGTTAAATGCTTTAAGTGTATCAATCCAATAATTATCATATAGTCTTATGAATATAAAAAGTAAAATCTGGATACTATTTAGCTCAAAGGAGTGAAGCATAGATCTTTACAGTTATTAAATCTGTCATGAACCAGACCTAGAGTATTTAGTCAAAAAGATAGATTGATATACAAGGGTGTTAGTATACTTACACATCAATAATCTGTTTAATTTCCTTTTTCGGTTTATTCCATAAGGAGCATAACAAAATAACCTCATTACGTTTAGGACAAAGGATAAGCAATTGCCAGTGACACCTACAAAAAATGTCACTCAATTAGCAATTCTTAAGAGATTCAAAGTTTGAGAGTAAGTAATTTAAAAATACTTACCCATTGTAGACCCCAATTCTTGCCCCGCCTCCTAATAAAGCCGAAGATCGCCCGTTTCGAAGATGGTTAAGACTTTATCAGGTCCCTAGTAGCTTGTTCTAGGTTCCATTTAGGATAGGAAGGGTTTTTAGAGGCATTAAAAATCGGGAAATTCTCCGGAGACAGCAGATGGTCGTCCAGAACAGGCGGATGGCCGTCCAGAATAGGTAGACTGCCGTCCAAGACAAGCAGATGACCGTCCATGGCAGCTTTAAGGCCATGGACGGTCGTCCACTTAGCTTTGACGGCCGTCCATGGCAAAAAGTTGCCATGGATGGCCGTCCACACTACATGGACGGCCGTCCGCTTTGTCTAGACGGCTGTCCACCTTTTCCAGGCCCGAATCCCTATAAATAGGGGCCTCATTTCTCCGTTTTTTCACACCTTTCATACTCCTCCACTCTCTTGGGAGCCTTTTGGCACTTGAGAGTGACCCTAAGCATTATTCCGGGGTTCGAGGGAGCTTTCCGATTTCCGTTAAGGTTGAAATCGGTTAAGGAAGTCTCTCTTTGAGACATCCGGCCCTCGGTAGAGTGACTTTTCTTTATTTTGCGGGAGGAGCGTGTTTGTAGAGTGCGGGGACTGCCAAAAAGCGTCCTCACATTTTCGAAGAGTTAATATAAAGCTCGCTTCGAAGGTTCCTTCTCTATCCTCTGTCTTTTTTTATTGCTTTCTTTATCGCTTTCTTTGTGTGCATTAGATAATAGAGCCATGTAGATATTCTGCAAGTAGATCAAATAATAGGGTAAAAACGTAATTTATTTAAGTGTTTATTTTCTAAGTTAGTCCATCATAGGGAACCCGAAAGGGGCGTTGTGGGGGTGCTAACACCTTCCCCACACGTAACTAACTCCCTTACCCGACTCTGGTTGTAATGGCCAAAGTTGGTTTTTTCTAAAACCACTGCCTTTTTCTTTTTACCTTTTTCAGTGTTTAGGGTTAAAACACTAATGGCGACTCCTCGAACCTATTCGAAAACCTCGCCTTTGGGTCTAGCCCGGTTATCGGACGGCCCAAAGGCATTGAACCGTTTCTTTAAAAAAAAATGCGAGTCATATAAAGAACCATCGCATCGCTCCGACCACCTCATCTGACGGCGGCGACACCCATAATGATATGGTGCGAGATAAACTTCCTTTGATCCTTCACAAAATCTCTTTTGAATGTATGCTTGAATAGTATTTGGTTTGTTCCCCAAACTCTGAATATGGACAGGATCAATGAATCCATAGACATCTACTACTCCCTTTTCCACAACAGCTTTGTTGAGGTAACTAGAAATTGAAAATATCATGTTAATTGCATATTAGACAAGTTGGTATCTAATAGGGCATACAACCAATTGACTTAAATAAAAACATAAGACTTACATTAACCAGACTTGGAGAATTGTGATGCAAATCATGTCTTGACTCAAAACAACATCCATCATGTCCTTCTGACTCAAGTACAACGTGATGGGCTGCAGATTCCCAATCACATGAGGGTCTATCTGGATCTGTAAAGGTATATGCTTTCCTAGCCTGTAAGCTAAGAGGCCTAACCTTTGTATCGGATCTGAGTCCAGTTCCTCTTGAACTTTCTCCTTCCCCTTCTCCTTTCTTTTCTGCTGGGCACAAATGTCCTATACACATCAAGGAATTAAATTAAAATTTATGATAAAATAATAAAATTATAAACATGTATCAAATTATTAAAGAAAATATATAATACATGATCGGTAGGAAACCGGATAAGTGCTCTAGGCCATTGAATGAAATGACTGGGAGCCTCCCCCACTATTCTAACCTCGTCGGATGGAACAGGAACATGAGCTTCAGAAACTTGCACCCGTTCAACCACAACATGAACAGAGGAATCCGTCATTTCTACCCCGTGTATAAGTGGCCCCAATGTATGCACAGTACCATAAGCCACTAGCAAGCCTTCCTCTGTGAACAACTTGCATAGAGGCCTAGGAGTGTCTTCACCAAGTGGAGTTGACTCATCATCAGGAAGGTCAACCGGTGCACAACTCCCTTTGGTGCTAACACATTCCTCAAGGCGAGAAGCTTCGGGAACACACTGTTGACCCCCTCCTGTGTTCCCCTAAGATAAGCCTAAGGAGACAAGTTCCTGCCTTAGCTCTGCCCGAAGCTCTTTCCTAATCTGATCCCTGATGGCCTGCAACTCATCTCTAATTACCACACTTTTTGTGGTAAATTTAGGAGGCCAATCCCCCATCCAGCTACCCGCACACGACCTGGATGCTCTGGTTGTCCAATAGCAGTGGATAATATATCTTGTCGTCCACTAGGGGTAAAGGTCCCCTGTGAACTCTGCTCTAATAATTCATCCTATAAAGAAAATGTAATTGATTAGAGAAGACATAATATATAATTCTATCTCATTATGAACAATTTTTTAAATAAATACATACAATTTTCTGTCCCACAATACGACTCTCAACTGTAGTATAGTCACCTTTCTTGCTCTGTCGTGCCTTCTTCCACTTCTCATGACGAGAAGGAGGTGATGGAGGTGAAGTCACACATGAGGGGTCACTTTGAGAGGCTTCTTGAGAAGCTTTACGCTTCTCTTCTATCAGTTTCCTCTCAAGTAGTTGGTAACCCCCTCGGGACAGCCTGTGAGGATATACATTTTTTTCTTGAATTGCTTTTGCCTTTTGTCATTTCTCCTAATAAAGATACATTCAAAGAAAAGGTCAGTTAAAAATATGGGCAAGTTAAAAGTAGACAAGCACAATATTCTTAAAGCACACGAACCTGAAAAGAAGGATCCATTCGGCTCTCAACAAACTTATCCCATGTCTCAGTGTCTAGAAAGGAGTATTGCTCACAAGGAGACACTCCTTTCTTGCTTCCAAACACATAGGTGGAAGTCAACTGGGTCTTGAAGGCCCTCCAACGCTCACCAGCGAATGATATCCACTTCCTCGTTAGCCCTTCAGTATTCGGAACATTATAAGTGAGCTATAAAAAAGAATACAAGGTTAGTGAATCCTACAAGAATTAACAATACAAGTAAATTTAATAAAAAAAAATTCATACCAAGCTGCTTTGCCAAATTTGTTCCTTCACACGCGTCTCCACATCATCCCAATTCTTCTTTATTATGCTCGTTTTGCTGCGGCCCAGAAGTGCAACATAACTTCTAAACTTTGTTGCGTGAGGCCCAATAGCATTTCCGGTCGAGTCATCAAACTCAATCGGTAACCTCTCATCAGCATTCCGACTTAGTGTCAACTCACTAAGTCGTGTTGCACGTCTCCCCTTCTTCGCGGACCTACTAGAATCGACCACATTCCTACCAAATAAGACAAATAAATAAGTTAGAATGCAAAGTAACTAATACAAAGACATGCAAAGTAAGTAACAGTGTAAAAACCATAATATACCTATTGTTTAACAATTTTCCCATATTCCTTCTTCATGATCAAATCGGGTGGCATATACACCATCTTGTTCATTGTCATCATTAGAAGGTAAAATGTGTGATGCTAAAGATGGACTAGTAAACTGTTGAAGTTGTAAATCTTCAAGGTCATCACTACCAGACATGGGTTTCCCTTGAAGCATTATTGACCAACTACTATTAACTGGATCGGAGATATAAAAGACTTGTTTTGCTTGAGTTTCCATAATAAAAGGTTCGTCTTTATAGCCAAGCTTGTTCAGGTTAACCAATGTAAACCCTAATTCATCCACCAAAACACCATTGTTACTGTCAACCCAATTGCACTTGAATACAACAATTCTAAATTTGGTGTAGTCAACCTCCCAAATATCTTGAATTACTCCATAATAAGAAAGGGATGCCATTATAGGAGAATTATCTTTTGAAGTAGCAAAGTGCATTGATTCAGCAACTACCATCACACCACTGTTTTGCATTGTACTCTTGTCATCTTGAAGCTTAGTATAAAAGGAATAACCGTTTACATCATATCCACTCCAAGTTATGACATCAAAGTTTGGGCCATGAGCTAACCATTTCAAAATTTCGGATGCGACATCACTCGTAACGATCTGTTCTTCAAACCACTTCAAGAAATTTTTATTGTGTTCATTCAACAACCATTTTTCATTCATCCTTGGATATCTTTGCTTGATCATTTCTTTGTGAGTAGATAAGAAAGGTTGAACTTCATCGATGTTATTCAATATGTACAAATGTGCTTGTAAAACTTCTTCTCGACTCATGTTTCTACCATTAACACCTCGGGTTCCCTTCCTAATTTGTCTTCCATCATGACGAAACGTCTGAATCCCTATAGGACTTACTTGGAAAGATAATCTGCATGCGAACTCAATTGCTTCTTCCGCAATGTATCTTTCAACAATGGATGCTTCAGGCCTTGATGGGTTTTTAACATATCCTTTCAAGATTTTCATATAACGCTCAATTGGATACATCCACCTTAGATACACAGGGCCACATAACTTAATCTCTCTAACAATATGAACAAATAAATGCACCATTATGTCAAAAAATGAAGGAGGGAAAAACATCTCCAATTTGCATAATATCAACACAGTTTCAGCTTCTAGGTTATCCAAAGTCTCAAGGTCGAGTACCTTATTACAAACAGCATTAAAGAAAAAATACAGATGCGTTATAACATGTCTAACCTTCTTTGGCAAAATGTCTCGAATAGCAACTGGTAAAAGATGTTGCATTAATACATGACAGTCATGGGACTTTAATCCAACTAACTTCAAATCTCTCATTGACAGTAGCCGTTTAATATTCGAGCAAAAACCCTGAGGCACTTTGATACCTTTAAGACATTCATAGAGGCTTTTTTTCACCTTCTTAGACAAAGTATAACAAGCTGGAGGCAAATAAGTACGCTTACTACATGATTGGGGACCTAATTCCTGTCTTATGTTCATATGAAGCATATCTAAGCGAGAGTTCAAGCCATCTTTGGTCTTTCCTTGAATATTCAGGAGGGTTCCAATAAGACTGTCACACACATTCTTTTCTACATGCATAACATCAATACTATGCCTTACATCTAGACTAGACCAATAAGGAAGCTCAAAAAATATGGATTTTTTCTTCCATTTTTCCTTTTCATGGGAAATTGTTTGGGTCTTTCCAAACAAACAATGAATGTCTTTCACCTTCGAATACACTTCCTCTCCTGTTTTAGGGTTAGGAGCGATTTGACTCTCTTGAAAGCCATTATAAGCCTTCTTTAACCTCTGATATGGATGATTAACTGGTAGAAATCTTCTATGTCCTAGGTACACTGTCTTCTTCCCATGTTTCAGTTGATGATAACATGTTTCTTCCATACAAATAGGGCATGCATTATGTCCTTTGACACTGTATCCACTCAGATTTCCATAAGTAGGGAAGTCATTTATCATACAAAAAAGCAAAGCTTGCAATTTAAAGTATTCATTACAATATGCATCAAATACCTCAACACCCTCTTCCCAAAGAAGTTTTAAGTCTTCAATCAAAGGTCGTAAATAAACATCAATGTCATTTCCTGGTTGTTTGGGGCCAGAAATCATCATCGACAACATTACCAACTTGCGTTTCATGCACAATCGAGGAGACAAGTTGTAAATTACTAACAAAACAGGCCATGAACTATGTATACTACTTAAATTGCCATAAGGATTCATCCCATCTGTAGCAAGTGCTAGTCTAAGGTTTCTCCCCTCTTGACCAAATTCTGGAAATATTTCATCAATTTTTTTCCATTGCAGAGAATCAGCTGGATGTCGTATCTTCCCATCACAGTGTCTTTCATCTACATGCCATGTTAAGCTCTTTGCATCTTTGGCATTAGCAAATAGTCGCTTAAACCTTGGAATTATTGGAAGATACCACACTACTTTGATAGGGGTTCCTGATGAAATTGTCTTATCACAATTATCTTCTCCATCCTTGACTTTAAACTGTGATGTACCACAAACAGGACAATTATGCAAACTTCCAAACTCCTTCCTGTATAGGATGCAATCATTATGGTATGCATGTATCTTCTTATACTCAATACCCATCGGACAAATTACTTTCTTTGCTTCATAAGTACGGCTTGGAAGTGTATTCCCTTTTGGAAGCATTTCCATTAATAATTGTAGCAATTCTGTAAAACTTTTATCCGTCCACCCATTTTGGCCTTTAAGTTAAATAATTTTAACACTGCTGACAACCGTGTGACCTTAGAACATCCTATATACAGAGGCTTCTTACTATCTTTGCATAGTTCTTCAAATACATATCCTTTTTCAAATGACTCTTCACCGATATCACATATCAAATCTTCTAGTCGACCATTGGTTTCTTTTTGGATTTCAGTTGTCTCTGACGCCATTGGGAAATCTACTACTTCCCCATGCCAAATCCACTTAGTGTAACTCTTGCAAAATCCATCACAAAGGACATGCTCTCTTATATCCTTCATACTTAGTTGTCTTAAATTTAAGCACTTCACACAAGGACAATAAAAGAGACCTCTATTGTTACCCACATTTCTCTGTGCAAACTCTAAGAACTCTTCAACCCCTAATTCATATTCTTCTTCTGTACGTTTGGCATTTATCCAACTCCGATCCATATCTATAGGTACATGACGTCTTTCCTTAGTGTGAAAATGGAATTACCTCTATTCAAAGGAAACAACCTTAAACAACTCAAACTCTAATCCAAACTCAAATAGTACTCGAACAACAGTAAAACTCCAGGAACAAAACAAACAACACAAAGAACAAACCTAAATCAACAACATAAGAAACAAACCCAAATGAAAAACAAGAGAAACAAATATAATCAATACCCCAAAGCCCTACACCCCAGCGTGAAAACCCATAGCCTTAACTCTTCCGCTAAGAGACTCGGACCAGAGTAACATCAACCAACCCAACAGGGCTTGGATAACACCAATCTCAACCCCATGAGAATAACCAAGTGAAAATCACATATTCAAGCCAAACTAAACGGAAATAATAATACAAAACCCAGAATAAACATGTCTACATACATTAAACCCAGGTGTAGACCCCTAATTTTGCCCGGCCTCTCAAAATAAAAGCTAGAGGAACTTCGCCCGAAGATGGAGTTCATCCGGCTTCCCAAAAACTGAGGAAACCTCCCGCAAAAACATGGAGTTCGCTCATATGCATGATAAAGACTAAAAAAGACCTCTCATAATAAGACGGAGTTCACTCATCCACACAAAGGAGACTTCCTATACATAGATAAAGCTCGCCCAACATGTCAAATGAAGGCCAAAGAAGACTTCCTACACGAAGATAAAGCTTCAACGGACATATATCGGCACCAATCCACGTCCGAAAACGGCAAGGAAAGCTTCCCGGGGTCCCAAAATACAAAGCATGACAAAACAGGTCGAGACCACCATCCCAGGGTTGGGACGGCCGTCCCAACTGAAATTAAGCAGTTGGGACGCGCGTCCCGAATGTGGGACGGCCGTCCCAAACCCCAGGGGGTCCCAACGTGAACAAAATTGCATTTGGGACGGCCGTCCCAACCCAGACTGGCCGTCCCAGATTGGCACAACGCAGAAAACACGTTTGGGACGGCCGTCCCAACCCAGACGGCCGTCCCAAAGTTCCAGGGCGAAAAATGCTATAAATAGGAGCATCATTTGTCTCATTCCACACACCTCAGACACTAGAC